AGCTAACTGAAGTCTAAAAGTGTCAATTTCTTCTTTCACAGTTCGCAGTTGCCCGTATGCGGTGTTCAGGGGGAAAGATGCCTCACTCTACTTTGTGGAGTTGGTTAATAAATACGTAAATTAGCCTCGGAACGGAGCACAACTGTTTGTGTTGCTGTGCTGTTGGTGTTTCAGTGTGTCTTCGCAGACCGGTCTGACACAACAGTTCTGCTCGGCTCTGTAACCATTCCAGTATTCGGCGATTTGTATGCTTTCCAAAGCGAATTTATCAAAGGGCAATTTTACCACATAATACTCCTCAGAAAGGACTTTAGATTTTGAGCTAAGGATCATGGTCACTGAATCGTTTGTTATCAAATTATTGCCGAATTAACTCCAAGCTACGTTGGCTGTTCTTCTACCAGAAACGAACAATCATTGATCATGAAAAGATAGGATAAAATAAAGTGATGTGTTGTAAGACGGACGTCTACGGAGTTCCCCCTGAACGTCTCCGCCTAACAGACAATGGTTTTATACGGATAACGAACCGAAAGCCTAACGGATCCCCTATTATGGTCATGATGTAAATATAATATACAGTAAAATTGCCAGTAAAATTAGGTTCACAATGGTGGACGCATCGCAGTATTTGTAGCACAAACTGTAAAGTCAAGGTAAGTCCATAAGAAATGACAAATGGGATGTTGGTTGTAATCGTCTCACTTCCATATTCATGGGTAGGCTCCAATGATCACAGCACCCAAAAGTGCTTCTCACTGACACTGTGTCCATCATAAGTAACTCGTTGGTAAAGATGACGTCCAAAATAGCAGGCTTGTTCTTCCTTCTGAATCTCGTAGGGGTACTAAGGTGATTCTAAAGTGGTATGTCACCGATGAGATTTTGCAGTTCGCCCTACACTGCTGGCGGAGGACGGAATCACTGGAGTATACCATTTGAAGCCTTTCAAAAGATGAACTTGAGTGTTGGTTTGAGCTAGAACGGTTTTCAGAGCAGAAGCTAGACGGTTGTCTATTACAAGAATGGATATGGGGGGAAGGTATAAGAGGAAAATAAGCATGCGTCGCCATCACTTAGTCGCAAGCGGCACCAAACTGAGTCCACAGCTTAAATCTTTCGATCATCAACAACTTTGGCACAGGTCACCGCGATGGTACAAAATAAAACCACTTCCTCTAGTAGGTCGAGCTTTACGTAGGATGAAACTGGCTGGTAGAGCGATCTCCACCTCCATGATTTCACCGTTCATCCAAGTTTCAGTTATCAGTATCAGGTCCATAGACATCAGATATTGGGCAGAATGGGGCAAGCATATGTTGTGAAAGAGGCTGTGAGCATTGGTAAAGATACCGGAGTATGATTCGAAAGTTAGATGCGGAGCTCAGTCTAGGCGTGTTATGTACGTGCTTTTGCCGATGCTTGTGAGATCGGTAACTAATGGATGTTTCTGACATTGAAGTTTGAGTCTTCATATTGGTTAATAAAGTTATGGTTTCAGTAAGTATTGGAAAAGTCCTTGCTCATTCAACGGTTGGCTGTGCCTTACAGTTGTCTGTTTCGGTAGTGATACTTAATTGAGTCACTTTTAGGCCCTGGGGATTTTGTTCTCTCTTGCTCAAATGCGGTTTGACGCTGGACGCCTTTAGGTGTAGCTCTGGATGGAGATTCTTACGTCACTTGCGTCACGTTTCAAGTGCACTTTCCGCCGTGTATTTGGACTGGATCATAGCTTTCATCTCCTTGGTTCGCTATCATTAGTACTTTGATGATGACAACAGGTTTGTGGTTGTTTTGTCGAGCAATTTATCAATTGAGGTAGTCTGACGAATATGGCCCCATTCCTCCCACTCATGGACACGAGCTTCATCGTCATGGAAGTCTTGGAGCTCGGGGACTCCATGAATAAACTTGCATTTTCGTTTTCCTGATGGTGGTAGTCTTCGTGGCTCTGTTTTATTTGTTGTAGTCCGTTCCAAAGGACGTCAGGAAAAATCAGATTGCTGCATGTGTCAGTCAGAGGGCACCTGGTTGACAAAGGCACGCCACAACATCCCTAGCTGGTCGTAGCGTCAATCGTAGCAGCCATGGTGTTCTGTACTGGGTCGAGTTTGGTTGCCGTATGGTGCGCAGCATGCTAGACAGTTTAGCATTGTTACCTACTAGCAGACATATGGCGCCCCACTTTTTCGGTCACCCAGCAGCTTATCTTTTATAGCGTTTGCGCTAGACCCAGACCAACTGGAATATACGATTATAAGCGACTGTTAGAATCGTCTAACAGTGACCGGTTTGAAAATGTTGTCATAATGTTTGGTGAATTGATTGGCGCATGTATGGCACTTTGGGCACCCTGTGAAATGGCGTCGGGTGTAGCCATAGCATTTGTTACTGGTTCTTGGGCAGAGGCAATGGATAAGTATGTAGCCATGCCTTCAGCGGTAGTGGTTCTGTTGCCGTGTGCCGGTGTACCTTGTTATACCGAGTTATTATTATGCAAGACGTACAAACTGTTGCTTCGCAATGAACGGTTGTACCGTCTCAGCTTGGAGGCATTCAGACCCAAACAGAGTGAAACCTTGCTTACTCAGTTTAAACACAGGACTTTTATGAACTGAAAATACCCTTACCCGTTAATACAGCTTCTGTTAATAAATTAAACATTATTCAACCAAGAGCAGCAACCAATGCGCAACTGCTGCGATAATCCACTGTGTCAAATTATCACGCATTTAAACGTAGTAACCTAACGAAAGTGTATAGAACGTCTTGAAGTGGAGGAAAAGGTGCGTTGTTCCACCTGTTAAAACCACCGTAAATCTAGCTAACAATTGAGTGTTGCCCGCCCGAAAACACTGCACTGTTATTTCATCTCATTAGATGGAGATAGTAAGCCTCGAACTCTACAGTGTTGGGATGTTAGTTGTGACCGCTGCCACTGAGCCACTGGGTCACGACGGGAAACGCATGGCACAACGATTAATGATATACTTTGAGGGTCATTTCGAAGTACACCTGGTGTGGATGAAGTACCAAGCGTTGCTCATCGTAACGCGTCGACTTAGTCATAGCGGTCACAAATAACATCCGAATGGTCCCAGGTTCGATGCCTGACATCTCTGTCTGAGGAGATGAGATAATATCGCCCATCGTCATAGGAGTGCAGTTTTTCGGGTGGGTAACACCTAATTTCTATCTGCATCAGCTACGGTCCTTGTGATCGAAAGACCAAGATTCATCCTAATGCGAATCGCGGTTCACATCGAGATTGCGTGTCACGATCCGTTTAGACAACGTGTACTGCAAAGTGAGCCTCAAAACCATAAAGGTACACAAAATCCGTTGTTGGCAGGGCTAAGGGCCTGTCTTACTACGCTTCGCTTTGCAATATTAAGCTCTACCGGGATAAATCTCAGTGTGTTTGTTATTCTTTTCGGCTGAGACTGGATATTGTCTATTTACCACAACACTCAGAAGTCAGCGAAGCACATATGATAGATTTATCCTGATCTATTGAACACTGCTTGCACAAATCGAGACAATGAACTGCAGCTGCTAATCCAGTCCATCCGATACCTACTTGTTCAAGCCCCAGGAATATTTAAATGCCTTAGCAACTATTTCTTGACATAGAATCATAACCGTTTGTCCTAAATAAGTTTCACTTCTGTAGTGAAAGAAAAGAAAGCACTCTGTTTGGATGACTAGCAAGATGTGATTGACCGCTTCAACACAAGTTTGATGTTTAATCTTACAGCGTAACTTCGATTATGATGCTTGCTGTTGAAATTAAGCTGTCTAAAGCTGGTGCTTTCGTTACCAACAATTTTGGGTGGGCTAGCTTCAATAAGGAAAATAATTCCTATTTGTGATAAACATAAAATTTGTCGTTGATATAGTTACAATACGGGAATACAGTCATTACATCCTCATATAAGGTAAGCACGCTGAATCCCACTTCTACTTAAAAAGATTCCTCGGTATAACTAGCTGACTGAGGCACATCCCAGTGCAATATTTTCTTCACTTAGATCCGCTTCATGCGCTCGAAACTTAAAACACACATGGCGATAATTGTGACAACAATGGTACGTACATCCAGGTGGGCTATAAAAACATTGCGCCCGATAATTATAACTTACTAGTCCTCGCTGCTTGCTCCTTGGTTATAAGTTGAAACAGAGGATGATAGGTTTCTGCAGGAACAGTTCCCTATGGAATAGCAATGAATCTTCGATGAGAAGCATGCCGGTTCATTAACCCATATCTTTTTGATGACGAAGATAAATGTGAGAAAACAGTTAAAAGTGAATGCAGTTTGATTGCAACTTCCAAAGAGGTGGACGCTTACATCATGAATACATCTGTTTGAGGAATAAATTTGACATACTGGCAGGAATTAATGATCTTTCCTAATTTAGTGTAATCATCTCCCAGGTTTTTCGTTTCTTGATAATGCGAAGTGTTGCTTAAGGAGAAATTTTTAAACCAGCATTCTGGTGAGGAATGCTGTAGCGTCACCTCGTGCCTACCAATATTCTAACTACCGAGGTACTGTAATGTCTCATACAAATATTGGTAAATGGTCTTCACTTGACTTAAATGAACGATTGGTATGTAACGTTGGAAGTCGTTTGTCTCTTGGTTGGTTCCTTAAGACTGGAACCGCGTACGACGGTTTGATCGGAAAGCGTTACTATGAAATATATATATCATGATACAAGTGGCTTTAAGGTGAGGTGAAGCAAACTATTTCTATCATTAAAGGTTAAGCTCCTGGTGAAAATTTCTCTGTCGCATGTATGTCTGAGTTCCATTACCTCATTCAATGAGTTTCGAACGCCAATGTTTCACCTAGCTTATGAATTCCGTGACTGATGCACGCTGCACATATTCACTGCTACCGAGGAATTATCATGCGCGGGCATTAAGAAACACTCAAATCAGTTCTTTATCCTCTACCCTCGGTATATATGCTTCCCCATCGTGTCTATTTTCAGTACCTCAACGACCAGTATTGGGCGGCTATCCCCTGCTAAGTGGCAGGCCCTCCCTTCCAGTCGGTAAGTTGTTGCGGATAAAAGAGAGCAGCCTTTGGGAAGCTTGCATTTCACATTTCCTATGTAATGGTTTCCATACGGTTTAACATGGACTGATGGATTGTGTTTAGTTACTCTACGCGTAGTTTGAATATAGCCATCGTGATTACCACTTGTCTGTTATAAAGCCCACAAAGTAGTAACTAAGCAGATTACTCCACATGTATTGTTCTCTATTTGGGTGGCTGCTCTTTTAGACGATTATTTCTACAACCCCGTTTCCTGACCCAGTTGGGTATCAAGTTGTGTATGCGAGCTGTCTAAGGTCATGCTAACTAAAGCCAGTTAACAAAATTAGCACACACAACTACGCTTATTTCACTACCCCTTTAGCATAAACATCTTGATTTTGCCAAGAACTAACCGTTTTTGAGACTTTTTGTACCACCACTTTACTTATACTACGCAAAACCACAGCACCACCCTCTGAACAGGTTGACCAAACTACTAGTGACCTACAGCAGGCAATGTGCATCTCAAGAAAACTCACAAGCTGATCAGTCTGTTCTGAACAATTATACTTTTAGTATTAAGCACTTCAAATCAATAGGAAGTCCAGAGTAGTCCCTAGCGATGGTGTTACACTTGAGCTGTTACACTGTGGAAACACGGCCACCACTTTAGCCACAGCGCGAACGTATGCCGCTACCGAATTATGGGTCCCAGGATAACATTCAGCCCCAACAATGGTTATTCAAGGCCAAATATTTAAAATAGGTTTTCTGGTCAGATCCTAATTGTGGCACATTCTGTCAAGGTGGCTATGTGTTCTGTTTAGTCGTAGCTAAACTGATAAATTCAGAGCTCGCAAACATATGCCAGCGGCATTACCGAGGGAGCTGTGTCAAACTGAATACTGCAACCTTGACAATTCGTTTCGTGCAGTATAGGTTCGGTTATTGGTGTAAATGGGAGAAAAACGTTGGAATATATAGGAGTACTTTCGCAGATTTTAAATAAACAAAGATGCTTTGAGCAAACTATTTCAGCAGACAAATGCAGTAGTACATTAGTGTCTTGATAGAAGCCATTGTTCTGCTAGTGGAGATAAACGGGGCTTGATAATTCGTTGGATGGGTTATGTTCAGAGTTAAAAGCAAGTTTCGTTTATATCGCATAGGGAATTGCAAAGCCGGTTATTTAACAGGAACAGGAGCGGGAGCATTCTTCACTTCATTGTCAAAAGCAATAAAGCAAAAATATACATCTTATCGTACTGTCAAAAAGGGTAAATATCCTTGATATTACAAGCGATGAAACTTTTACAGTAAACTTTGCTATTTGGCTTGTAGTAGATCCCGTGATTTCCCCAAAATAATATTATAGGTTTATACAAAATTCTAAGTAACATTAGTATCGCGTTTCTTAATTAGGGGGACCGTCAAAGTGGGGAAATATATTTGGTCTCTGTGATCTGAATGACCGAGGTCTTCTTCAAAGGGAACCGAGGTCTTACTAGAGACTGCTTGTCGCAATCCAAGCACAAGCGAGTACTCCAAATCCAATTCGGAGTGACTATATGTTATGTAGTTTTCTGAGACCTGCATGCATGCTAGGTAACGTGGTTTTACCTACCGCACGACCGCATCATGCAGTAAGCAGTTCGCGGGGTACGTTTTTTGTCAAGTGGTCAGATGATAAATGGGAGCATTAAATCCTTTGTCACTGAATGTTGGGACCGGTATTATTACGACTGTTCGCCAGCTCACGATAGATGTGACTGGCGGTATATGAATTAGCGTAAAGCTGTGAACGTGAGCTAATCGCTGCGCTAGCGTAGACACGTAAACTGAAGCTAATCTCCTCCTATTTGCCTGGTGAATTTCATTGTCTTCTTATCACTTTTGATTTATCTCAACTTAACTGTGTTCATTTTTTCCTTATGTGCGCCATTTTCTAAATTGGTAACGTAAACTAAATGCTTCAACTGATCGCTTTCTTAGTTCATCTATGCGTACGGATGGACCCTCGCTCATAGTCTGGTTAAGTTTTCACGTGCCCTGGATAACTTTGACCAACATGCAACGTAAACAACCGCTAGGACCTCCTGAAACTCGCCGTAATGAACCATCTCACCGAATCGAATAAACTGTTTCTACAGGAGCTTACCAATGAGTTGCAATTTCGGAATAAAATGCGCAGCCTTTAAACGTTAGTAATTGTTCTCCAAACGCGGGTACTTAGTAAATTGCCATGATTTACGTCAGGCACCGGTTGTTTTACCTACGTTTCTTCTGCAAACATAACTAAAGTTATAAGATCCCATTACTGAGGTGCGCAATCTAGGTACTGGATAATCATCCTGTGGACTCAATATTCTCTTACTGCCCCTAAGACACAAATAAAACGTTAAAGGTCTTTCAATCACAACTGAGAGCAAACTCGATCACTCTTGATGCCTACAACGGAAAACAAAGTCGCCCACTATGCTTTTAGGCATTTGCTTTAGTCCTAGTTTATATGTGCATATCCATAACCCCGAACTTTTATTCCGTTAACCACTATGTTTTCCAGATGACTAGTTCACCACTGGTTTGGACTCATGCAATGACGATGCGACTACAAGTTAACAAGAGTAATTGGAACTTAGCTGTGGGTAGCTAGTCAGGTACCTTCCCAGCATAATAATAAGCATGAAGTATATCCAAAGAGCAAATAAAGTGGTTACTGGTACGTGTATACACGCGTCACTCAAGCAAACATGTGTGTATCGTACTGATATTTTGCTTTGCGTCAACGTCTAGTCGTGACAAGTACGGTAGGATAGAATTGTGGTGAGATGCAGTAAAAGAATACAGTACTCTAAACTAAAAGTTTGTGGATTAAACAGATGACTTTTTATTGTTCACCATGTACGAGGTGAAAAAAGTAGTTTAGAACTTTGATTGAAAGCTAGTGCGGGTATCCAGATACTTGCTGTAAATGAACTTTGGATGTCTAGCTAGAGAATCCACTGCATTCAGAACAGCTTTGTAAAATTACAGCGTTACAGTAGAGCCACTGCGACCAATAGAATTCAGTCACAAATTCAAAAGCAGCCTTTGCAGCACTCATGTTATCCTAAGACTGAAGAAGTCAAATAGTATCCTTCTAATCTCAAAAAACATTTCTTCGGCATACACAAACCGAATAAAAGTTGAGATAATAATAGTTTCAGGTATTTTGATAGTATCCATCTGGGTGTGTTAGTCACGCTCGTCAGTTGCGAGTAGCATCCAAGATAGCTAGTAGCCTATCAGAACGAAGAGAATGTTAGATCCCAAATTTTAGGAATATTCATAGTAAGGAACCGGGAAGCCAATCACAACGCTTGCTCATCAAGACGTCTCTGAAGATTAAAATACGTTCCAATATTCGAAAATACGTATTCCAAAACGACCTTACTAGTGAAGTTGGATGAACTGAAAAACATCTTGATGTACAAAGCAAATAGAGGATATCGCTTCATTTAAAACACCACAATTAGTGCCATGCGTGAAGGGGATGTGAGTGCTAGTTGTACAGCAGTCTTTGATCGTGCTGCAGACAATTGTTCGAACATCATTTTCGGATACTTGGTTGAGTAGTGTTTATCTGTTAGCTCACCAACAGGCAGTTGAATAGTAAGGAAACATATGTCGTACTGACGTTCCTTTTTCCCTCTATACAAGATGTCGTAGAATAGTGATTCTCAACCTGGGGGTAACTACTCCCGAAGGGCTGAACTGCAATTTTTCGGAGGTAAATTTTAGTACGAGGACTGGGTAATCAAGTGGTTGCCAAACCGGATTAATGATAAATGCAAATGTATCAAAACATGTAAATGACGACCTAATGACACTTGTCTACCCGTCAGTGATTAATCATTAGTGAGTTGCCGGTGAGTTAACCAAGTTGCTAAGATATTTATTACTCAACATACAAGTATAAACTTGCAAATCAACGCAGCTAGATGGTGCCCCTATCGGTTTGCTCGTCAAGCGTTCTTCTTTTAAGTCAGGTAGTCGTTCGGCGGACGAATTACAAAGTTTAGTGAACACTAAGGTAGGAGCGTGGGTCAACCGAATAGACAAAGGGGAAAACGACGTTTACAAGGTATAAAGGACAAAATAGTTAATTAGTGTTAAGGAAGTAACGATAAAAGCAAGATGCGCAGAAGCGATCAATAGGTGAGCAACCAACCCGGGCTACCAGTGTTCCAAATTATTTCATGAAAAGTTTGGTGGCGGCAACCTGTCATGCAGGACGGACTTGGACAGGACGGTTGAAACAAATAAGAAGTCACTTACGTAGGTTCTTTTGTGACTGGAATCATCCACCAACGCAATAAACCGAATGAACTTAGGGCACGAGTTACGATGGAAATTAGCTGCAACCGCACTAAATATACCAGCAACTGTTGGAACTCAGCAATAACTACCATTCCAATAGTATACGTTGCCGCTTGTTTATCTAAAAATAGCTCAACAAGCGGTATTTTCTTTAGTTAGGTGATTGAAAGGAGTTAAAAATATCATTCATCTTCCATAATTTACAGCAAAAGGACAATAGTCAATAGGTAATTAGCATCCTTTTACTAACATTTTGAAGGGTAATGGCTTATAATGAACCCACTTTGTAGGTAACAGCACCAAAATTTTAGGAACCACTGCTGTAACATTTTCAAAGTACCATAAACCATAAAGTGTTAAGCCATTAGATCTTATGAGAAACTGGTAGACATCGTCTGCATGAATGCTCACGAAAATTCGTTGTGAGTAGTTTCTCGAAGTTAAATCCTTGGATGCCTTCTTGGGTACAGTCGTTATGCTTAAAGATTGCTACAGGTCAGTGATAGTGACCATTCAAACAGTATTAGTTGAATATAGCAGGTAAAATCACCGTGAGATACTCAGAGCACGCTATTAGAACAAGTGGTGATAATGCGCAACATTCAGTATCTTCATTTATCTGAATATTTGTATCCGAGTTCACAAACGATGCTA